TTCATTGCCATGGTTACAGTCCCCTCCCATGCATCATCAACCAACCAGGTGTTATACCCTGCAAGCCTGCCCCGGAGTTGTCAGCACACAGCCCTCTTCCTCTCTGGGTCTAGAGTCCCCAGCCGCTCCATCTCTCCACATCATCTTTTCTGCCTTCATTTCTGGCATCACTGTTTCTCTGGGTAGGATTCCACACTCCACTCTTCTCCCTTGATGGTCCCAGGGACCTCCGTTCCTAGACTGCAAAGTCAACCACTCCCTTTTGCTACAAAACATCTACCTTTACATTTCCAAGCCTCACAATCAGTCCTGATAACAATTATTCACTGTTGTACCACAAGAGTGCTATCCACATCTCCTTTCATCAGTCCCGCCCAGACAGATTGGATACTACTCAGTGACGTCATGCCACCATCGACAAAAACGGACCGAGAATAATAGCACTAGTATGTTACCTGACAGTTGAGCCTTTCTTTAGTGACTCTCTGTTCCTGGTGATGACTATGCATGTGATGCTGGTGGTCGCCTGCCCCTGTGGTGAATGTGAAGCCAGCATAATAGAAATATTTGAAGTGTAGGACATGCTTTGTAAACTGTATTGAAGGAAAATTGTTGTTAAAATTAAAGGGGGACTTTTCATTTGTTCTATGTGCTTGCCTTGTAGTGAATCTAATTTTCACAATTATACCATGGTGTCCTTGAATGAAGAGTTTAATCGTGGAAGAGGACTAAATGTGGGTGCCCGAGCTTGGGACAAGGGCGAGGTCTTGATGTTTTTCTGTGATGTTGATATATATTTCTCAGCCGAATTCCTTAACAGCTGCCGATTAAATGCTGAGCCAGGTGCGTAAAATACTGATAGATGAGTTGAGTTTAGAATTTAAAACACTGTTACTATAGCCTACATTTTGAGTCAAATTGATGTGAGGAAAAAGAAGGTGTAATTAAAGTCTAGTATTTTTGTTTTGTTTTATTTTGTGTGTGGGTTTGTTTTTTTAAATTATTTTATGTTATTACATTATATTAGGTGTAATTTAACTCTAATACTATGCAGCAGTGGGAGAAAGATGAGGCTTTGTGCTCCCATAAAGATTTATAACCCTATGCAGGGTCTCTATGAGTCGACACTGACTCCACAGCATATAACTGCCAACCACCACCACTACGTAGAAAATTGAAAACTTGCCACTCTGAAGTTCACAATTCTTCTCTTGGGACTAAATTCTATTGGGCAAATAAATGAAAAGGAATAAAAAGTCTGAAAATTGACAAGGAGGGAGATTCATCAGAAAAAACAAAAAGAGCTGACCAGATTGTTTCGAAATGTGTTCAGGTCAGAAGTGTCCAACTTCTGACTAAAGTTATACAGATACATATGCAAGAATCTAGATACTTGTAGTGCTTGAACTCAGGAAATACACTTTCTGTAGTGATTTATTATACTTTTATGCTTTATGTTTTTTAATGTCTGAGCAAATGGTATCTTTGTAAATTAAATTTGATATTAACTGTATAAAGGAAGGTTTCTATAATAAAGAATTTTATAACGGTTTGTTTTAAAATGTAAACTATTCATGTCATTTAGAGTATTGCTTTCTTGTTAGTTTAGTTGGAGATAGTTGTCAATAACTCTGAGACTCAACTGACATGCCTCAGGAATTCCAAATCCTCTACAGGGTCATTATCAGTCAGAAATAACTCTACATACAGCACTTGACAACAATGACAGTAGGTGAGAGTCCTGGTGTGACACTCTAGGATAAGCACTGCGATGCTAACCACAAGTTCATCAGTTCAAGCCCACCAGCCACTCCTTAAAAACCCTATCTATACATGGTTGTTATGGGCACTTAGCAATAACAACAAGCGAGTTAATGATGATTTAACCTTATTTTTATTAACTATAGAGAGCCTAGAATTCAGAATGTGGAAGTTGAAACAGACAAATATTTGCTCAGTGTAAAATAAATTTTATAATATCCAGAAATAAAACAGGTTTGCCTATAAGACATTGAGCGCCCTGGCCTTAAGTGGGTTTTAAGGAAGGTGGGATGAGCAACCACTGGGATTTTAGAAAAATAGTACTGTGTTACCTGTTGTTGTTGTTGTCAGGTGCCATCGAGTCGGAACCGACTCATAGCGACCCCATGCACAGCAGAACGAAACAATGTCCGATCCTGGGCCAACCTCACTACCGCTGCCACACCCGAGTCCATCAATGATGCCACCTGGCTGATCCATCTCGTTGGGGGTCTTCCTCTTTTTCTCTGACCCTCCACCCTACCCAGCATGACATCCTTCTCCAGCGATTGTTTCCTCCGGACAATATGTCCAAAGTAGGAGAGACGAAGTTTAGCCATCCTGTTACCTACACAGTGCTTTTCGGTGTATCGAATGTTTTCTATGACCAGTTTTGATTGGGGCCAGTCATACAAAGAACTTCTCTGCTAGGTGGTAGATTTGTTGTTGTTAAGTGCTGTTCAGTCAGTTCTGACCCATAGTGACCTTGTATAGAGTTTCCAAGGAACGACTGGTGAGCTTGAACTGCTGATCTTGCAGTTCAAACTGACTTTGCAGTCCAGCGTATTACTCACAGTACCACACTAGGACTCCGAGTGGTAGGTGGTGGTAGTGCTGGTAGACTTTCCAGCTAATTAAACTTTCCAGCCGCTTAGTGCTGTCACTGAATGCTAGCAATAGATGTTTTAATCTGCAGGAGATGTTTTTAACCCTCACTTTCTCATATTCCCAACCTTTTCAGATCTTGGTTCAAATCTGTCTATACTTCTGTTGTTTAATTATTCACTCACTACATAGCTAGCTATTCATTGCACTTAATTCTTTGGATTTGCTGTTTCTGGTACCTCGTTTGAGCCCCTAGTTTGGCTCTGTAGGATAAGCACCAGACTGCAAACTGCAGGTCAGGGCTTCAAAATCACCATCCATTCCTCAGTAACCCTATACAGGGTCACTGTGAGTCGGACTGACTTGATGGCACTGAACAACAACACTTAATTTTTAAGGTGTATTTAACAGAAGTTTCTGAATTTCCAGATAGGTGTCAGGGGTTAATTTTCATCAGTTACTTCTGATTAGATGAAATAAAGAGTAACAAAAGGCCCAATCTAGTGAATATCTGAGAGCATACCCTGGTGCATTTTCCTGTTAGTCCAGTCTTTCTTTTTCAAGGTTATAGATTTGTGGAGTGATAGATTACAAAGTCATCAGCATGCTCACTACAAACATGCTGCTCAGTAGCCAGAAGATTGATACAAACTCCCTTGTATAACATAAAACATCTGTTTTAATTTATAGGTAAAAAGGTGTTTTACCCTGTGGTGTTCAGTCTTTATAACCCTGCCATTGTTTATGCCAATCAGGATGAGCCACCACCTGTGGAACAGCAGCTGGTAAGACTTGTGCCTTGTCAATATGAAAAGTTGGAAAAGTTCCCTCCATATTCTTTTATGTTTGGTATGAAACCAAGTTTGGGTAAAACCTTAAAATTATTATTGAAGTATTTCCATAATCTTCTCTTCCCATAAAAGCTTTCATAGTTGGTGGTGATGGCTGTATACCATGGAGTCAGTTCTGACTCATAGTGACCCTGCATAGGGTTTCCAAGGCTATAAATCTTTCTCCCACGAAGCAGATGATAGATTTGATCTGCTGACCTTGAGATTCACAGCCCAACTTGTAACCCACTACAGTACTGTTTCAGAATTAGATTTCCTTCTGAAATCTAGCCCATAAAGAAAGACCTCATATTCTAGAATGTGTAACTTGCATAGTCATGTCTGCCTACTTATTTTTATTAATGTTAAAAATAAACTATTTTTTGAATAATTCTAAGAATAAATTTTAGATTTAATTTTAAAAGCCTTACTAATGAGAAATTAGACCTCGTCTAATAAAAGGAATAAAATACAGTGGGGAATTACTCAGGAAAACATGAAATCACAATTCACATATCAAAACTTGTATTATTGCCAAAGCTGTACCTACATAGAAGTCCTGGTGTGGTGTTGTGAATTAATGCTCTGAACTGTGAGGTCAGTCTGAACTTCAAGCTTACCAGCTGCTCCTTGGAAACCCTGTACAAAGTCGTTATGAGTCAGAACTGACTTGACGGAACTTAGCAACAACAACAATATACCTCATAAGTTTCAGAGTATTTTCTAAAAGAAACTTTAAAAATAATAATTTATATTAAAATGTTGCAAAAATAGTACAGAGAATTTCTGTATTTCATTGTTTCCCCCAAATGTTAACCTCTTACATAATCATTATATATTTGTCAAAATTAAGAAATTGACCTTGGTGTATTAATATTAAGATGTCTTGGTGATGCAGTGGTTAAGCACTTGCCTGTGAACCAAAAGGCTGGTGGTTCAAACCCACCAGCCCCTCTGTGAAAGAAAGATAAGACAGTTTGCTTTTGTCAAGATTACAGCCTTCGAAACCCTGTGGTACACTTCTGTCCTGTCCTATAGGCTTAGTATGAGTAGGAATCAACTTGAAGGCAATGGATTTTGGAATGGCAGAGTGGTGAATCAGATTAACTGCTAACCAGAAGGTTAACAATTTGAGCCCACTAGCCGTTCCACAGGAGAAAAATGTTGCAGTCTTGGAAACTGAAAGGTACAGCTCTGCTTTGTCCTATCAGGTCTCTATGAGTCAGAATAAACTCAAAGGTAATGCTTTTATAATCCAAGAGGCTGGAGCATATGAAGAAGAAAATTGCATCGGTATTGAAGACTGATTAACAACCTTGCTTGCTGAAAGCAAAGAGTACTTAAAATACTTACCAAAGATGATCAAAGTCCACTGTCTTTTTAGTTTTTATTGTGAATTGAGTGATAGTTACATGGGAGAACATCAGTTTTATAATCATCCTATCATATTTCGTTTCATTGCAATGACTACAGTCTCCTCCATGCATCATCATTCAACAGTATTTGCTTCTCTTCCCTCTTGTTTTTGTTTTTCTTTTTTTGGATGTACACCAAAACACTCAGGAATATACAGTCATTCAAACAAATATAGGTTGTACTTTAATGTAAAGAAAAAAATCCTCACCACAAGACCAATAAATAACATCCACATAAATGGAGACAAGATTGAAGTTGTCAAAGACTTTATTTTGCTTGAATTCAGTATCAAATCTCATGGAAACAACAGTCAAGAAACCAAACAATGTATTACTTTAGGCAGATCTGCTGCAACAGACCTCTTTAAAAGTGATGAAGAGCAAAGATGCAGTTTGAAAACTAAGGTGCACCTGACTCAAGCCATGGTATTTTCTGTAACGTCATATGCATGTGGAAGTTGGAGAGTGAATAAGGCAGATTGTAGATGAACTGATTGATGTATTTCAGTTATGGTGTTGGAGAAGAATGTTAAAAGTACCATGGAATACTAGAAGAACAAACAAATTGTTGTTGGAAGAAGTACAGCCAGAATGCTTCTTAGAAACCAGGATGGCAAGACTTGTCTTTCACACTTAGAATATGTTGTCAAGAGATATCATACCAAGTGAAGGGAAAGCAAAAAAGAGGGGGACCCCCAGTGAGATGGATTGACATCGAAATGGATTGAAGTGTACCCATGATTGAGAGAATCATTTTGTTTTGTTGTTGAGTTGGAACCGACTTGACTGCACCTAACAGCAACATTAAGTACACTACATACTGTATTAGAATTTCACTTGCTTTCCCACTACTGTCCTTACTCTGTCCCAGGATCTAGGCCAAGGTGTGCTGTATTGCATTTAGCATAGTTTTAGCATCGTCTTTTGGTGTTAATGTGAATATAGAATGGAAATGAACCAAATTAATTAATATATTTTTAAGAATATCCAAGAAAAGCCGGAAGAAATAAATATAAAGGTAGAAATTAATGAAACAAAAATTGTAAGTTTATAACATTGATAAATTTAACAAAGTTATTCTTTATGAGTAAGCATTTTTTTCTTTTAAATCACAAAGTGGGCAGATTCAGAGTACCAAGAGATAACATTGGAAATTAGGTAGGATATAAGGCACAAAAAAATTGAATTTTAAATGACAGAATTTTGAAATTTTAAATTAATGGAAATGTTTGAGAATTTATAAAATACTGACATGAGATAAGAAGACTAGCACTAAAAAGAACAAGGCCATACAAAAATTACAGTAGTTATCAAAAAGTTTTCCCTGAGGAACCATAGATACAGAATTTTACCAAGTTTTCCCAAACTTTGAAGGAGTAGATAATTGTGTTTTAGTTGGTGGTGAGTGCTATCAAGTCAGTTTTGATCCATAGCAACCCCGGCTGGTGAGCATATCAAACCGACAGTGCAGATCAAACCAACTTTGCAGTCCAGCGAATTAACCCACCGTGCCACACCAGGACTCCATTAGTACCAAATGATCAACATATTTTATGAGACCAGCATTATCTTGTTAGAAACACCTGGCAAAGCATGGCTATACATACTCCTTTAACTTACCTGGAGTCAGTCCTACTTTGGGATAAAGATACAAAATAGCAGACCAAGCCCCTGAGTCTGTCTTACCTAATATCCAAATTCCTCGTCGAAATGAATTGTTGTTAAGTGTTAAGTGCCGTCAAGTTGTTTCTGACTCATAGCAACCTTTCATAGGGGCTCAGAGGAGCAGCTGGTGGGTTATAAACCTATGCGTTACCTTGCAGCGCTACACCAAAACTCAGAAATGAATTTTTCAGAAGAAAAAGCAACAATAGTGTTTTTTAAATGAGAGAAATATTGCTAGCAGATAAATAGTTTTAAGAAATTTTTCTAAGGTAAACACAACAAGAATTGATGGACAGATAGCATGGAAAAGAGAACAGTCTGGAACATGTTCAAATCACTGATAAAAATGGGACTGGTTTACATCTTCTGAATTCATAAGAAGATGGCAGGGAGTAAGAGGGTGTCATGGGGCCCATATGTATTTCTGGGTGTTAAACAGAAGATATCACAGGAACTGACTGCTAGGGTAAAACTGTGTGGGTGGAGGGTGGAAGGGTGGCGGGATGACACGAGCTAGAGAGGCAGGGCGGGTTCTTAGGAAATTATTGCTTTCCAGAATGGATGGATGGCCTCTGAACTCAGAAGCTGAGTCCTGATGGGCAGTTGTGTCCCTCTTCCACTGTTCCTGGAGTAAAGTCCTTATAATCAAAGCTTACAGAAATAGATTTTTTTAAATAATGATTTTTAAAATAAAAATGAGTAGCAGTTAACCAAGACTAACCAAACAGTTAAAGAAAGTTAAATCTTTGACAAAGGCATCAAGTTGTAATAAACAGAAAATTAGTACATGAGAATATGAGTATGTATAGAAAAAAACAGATAGAAAATACCTGGAAATTAGAGAAAACATTATATTTGTAAACCAGATATGTTGCTGAAGAAGAATCAGCATGTGAAATTGTGAAAATATAAAACTCAGTGAATTGGCTGAATAATAGAATAATGGTCACAGGTGCATGTAGAAATAGTTGAATCATGGAATATTTGTGGTTGTTTATTTACACTACAATAGAAAGAAAAAAAGGAAAAGGAAAATGTGTGCCTAATTTATCACTTCCAAGAAAACATATATTTCATATATCAGCTTCACCTTCATCTAGGTCATCAGTGCTATCTGGTTAATTCTGTTGGTTTTTTTTTTTTTTTTTTTTTCCAATCATTTTTCTCATTCTGCACAACAACTTTGCAGACCGTCACCATTCTCCTCAAATTGCCTCCTCTAAAGACAGTTTCTACGTATTCCATCTGGAAAGGTCCATTTATGTTGTTTGAAAACGTATTTTCAATGACTGTGTCATTGATCTTGCAAAATTAAATCATGAGATTTCCAGTATCATTTGTATCACCAAAGTCATATTTTCTAATTATTGATCTTTCCTGTTTCCAACTTTCTCATTCCAGTCACCAGTAGTACACAATGCATCTGGATTGCACGTTTGATCAGTTTCAGACTGAAGAAGTTGGTAGAATCTTCAAATTCATTTCATTGCCTTTAGTGGTTGGTGTATACATTTAAATAGCAGTGATATTGATGAGTCTTCCTTGTCGACATATGAATATGATCCTATGAAAGACAGAATTGTGCTTCAAGATCTTGGGATGTTCTTTTTGACAATGAATGTGATTTAATTCCCCATCAGTTTTTTGTTTCCAACATAGTAAACCATCTGGTTTCCTGATTCAAAACATCAATGCCAGTCCATTTCAGCTCACTAATGCCTAGGATATTGGTCTGTATCTGTTCCATTTCATTTTTAACAATTTCCAGTTTTCCTAGATTCATACTTAGTACATTCCATGTCTTGATTATTAATGGATGTTTACAGCTATTGCTTCTCATTTTGAGTTGTGCCACATCAGCAAATAAAGGTACTG